CAGAAGGACTTCTTCCGAGTTCAAGAAAAACACCTGGTCCCCAACAAGGCACTTCAGAAGTTCATTAGTCGAGCATCCAAGTCCGAAGCACCGGAGCACGTGAAGACTAAATTCGTCAGTCAGCTACAATGGTACATTGGAGTCCGAGAATGGTTATACCGGGCGTACATGTTCATCAAAGAAGATTCAAGCAAAACTGACTAGATTGATAAGTTCACTTTGGGGAGATTGTTGGAACCTGAAAGTGAACCTCTAGCAATCTCTATCCTTTGTATGTTTCGGAGTCAGCCCAGTTCTGAAGTCAGTTCTCAGTCCGGAGTCAACTTGTGGTCCGGAGTCTGTTTGACGTCCGGAGTGAAGATTGGTGCATGTCCAAATCTATTTGTCTGTCTGTATTAATCAACTTTGTCATTTTGTTTGATGTAATGTATCATAGGACTTAGTCTCTTTTGTCAACTTAGATAATCATAGTGTCAAGAGTAACTCTATTATCCAATCCTATATATGTTTATGGTTTGTACGATGTATCTTATTCTCCTATATAAGGAGCATTCAATGACAACATCAAACGACGGATTGTTCAACCCAAGATAGACATTTTCACATTTACTTCACTTGCACCTTTCTCTCTAATCTATCTTTCAAACATTCCTTGTGTTCATTTATTGTCTTTACTTGATCATATTCATAGTCTTATATTTAATACTTGAAGTACTTTGTTGATTCTTATTTTCAGTCTTGACTGGAACTATTAATCTAAAGCAGACATTGATCTTAAGCATTAACTCAAGGTTTGAGTTTTCAACCCTTGTCCCTGCGCAATCAGATCCTTGTTCTCACATTCTTCTCGCTCCAAGCCTTTTGTTCTTCTATCTCCTTACAAGAATGCACCAAATCACACACTTTAACCCCTCTCTTTCTCACAGATGATACCAGCTCGTTTAGGGTTTCTCTCAGGGTGTTACAGTGATAAGGGAGGCGGAAATGAAGGCTTAAGGTCCTTTAAATAGGGTACAAACCCTGAAAATTAGGGTTTTCACACTTAGCTCCTACTCGTCGAGTTGGGGTCCTCCACCTCGTTGAGTAGACTCTAAAAATCACGCGGCCATTTAATTCTCTACTCGGCGAGTTGGGGCCTCCAACTTGTCGAGTTGCTCTGACAACATGAATATAAATTAATTAAATATTATACCTGGGAGTCAGGATGTTACATGGGCACTGATCGCGTACGCCCAACGTACTCCTGGTACGCCCAGCATACTCCTCGTATTCCCAGCGTACTTAGGGATGCCCTAGTACGCCTAACGTACTTCCTCGTACGCCCAACGTACGCGGCTAAACCCAAAACCGTCCTAACTTCAAACGGTCATAACTTCTTCGTTCCAACTCCGTTTTCGACGATCCTTATATCCACGTAAAGGTATTGAAGAGCCACACAACATTATCTAGATATCTCGGACTAAAAACTTTCCAAACAAAAATCCATATTTCATGCAAGAAATCTGAAACATCACTTTTCCCGTTTCGCCCATTTGACTCTAACGCACACCAAGGGCTTGGATCACATAACCAATATTATCAACATCCAATAGAGTCTAAACCCTATTCCCTTGTAGCCCAAGGCCTTTATTTGATCCATTTATTGCCCACAATCCCGAAATAAGAAACTTCTCGAAACAGGATGTTACACGAATACTCGCGCATTGCACATAATACAACAATATATTTGAAATATTTACAAATATATGTTTTTTAAATATATCAATGACGTTGTTGTTAGCTCTTATATAATAAATCTTATAATAAGATGGTATAAACATTATTTGTTTTGATTTGTATGATAATGTAGACATATTTTAAAATTCTATAATCCCAATTGTCTCAATGGCCTCTACCTGCAGGTTAATCATGAATAAAATTAAATATAATATATGGTTTAATGATATTTTTAGTTGTGTGTTATGATAATTAAGTTTAAAAAAGTTTATTTGCTTAAGATTTTAATTTTTGTCATTGTAATTATTTAAAACATCATACATTGTTTTTGTTTTTAAAGGTAACAATATAATATTTGTATATAATGTTACTTTTAACTATTGTTGTTTTAAGTTATTTAAAATAATGTATTTGGAAACTCTTAATTATTTTAATTTGGTTTCAGAAATTTAACTTTTTTAAATTTATTTGAAGAATATTGTTAGTTTCTTTGATTGTAACTATTTAAAACAACAAACATTGTTTTTGTTTTTAAAGATAACATTATAATTTTTTATATAATATTACTTTTAACTATTCTTATTGTAAGTTATTTTTAAGCTATTTATTTAAAAATTCTTAATGATTATAAAAAAATAGTTTCATGGTTTTTTTAATATAGGGTCACAATTTATGTTTATCACTATACTTTATAACTTTTAACTATTTATAAAAAAGTCTTTTAATTTTTTTCAAGTTTAATTAAAATTTTGATTTAAGTTAACCGTTTAACATTATATTGAAATTAATAATTTAACTATTTTGCATAAAATCATAAATTATACAAAAGTTGCGATTTTAAAATGACAATTGTTCACAAACGACAACGTATCAAAATTAATAAGTTAACTATAATATGTAAGTTAACTATAATATGTTAAAAAGTTAAAGTCATAATTTTATAAATAAAAATAAAAAAATTATTTTAATATTATAGTTTAGTTATTTTATGATAAGAATTTAGTTTTTGCATAATTTTAACATTATTAACCAATTTATAATAATATTAAAAAGAAATTGAAAAGTCATAGAGGTTTCAAATGTATGTGGTGCAAGTAAAAAATATCTCATATTATTATTATATATATATATATAATATATATATATATAATATATATATATATATATATCTATATATATATATATATATATATATATCTATAGGAGGGTTCAATTGAGAAAAAAAAAAGGTTGAGAATGGGAAAGCCTCTGTCGTACCAGCGGAAATGGGAAAGGAATAGACATGTGTTTTCCAACAAAACATGTTTCCTTAAACTATGTCAATCATTACCTTAATATATACAAAAACATAGTTTTTTCGTTTTTTTAATTTTTAAGAAGCTATTTTTTATCGAAAAGTGATTTTAAATATACCAAATTCCTGATTTTTTATTCTCTACAAATAGATATCCATATTGATTTAGTTTTAAGATAAAATAATTTTTTTTTATATTTTCAGCTATCGTTATTCATAAGTGAATAAAAATGCATTAGGTTTTTATTACAGTACATTCGTTATTCACTTATGAATAAAAAGTGTGATTAATTTTTTTTACAATTTAAGTATCATTCATATATGAATATAGCATATAATAAACATAGTATATTCATATTTAAATATTAGACGATGCATTCACTTGTGAATATTAACTTAATATATTCAATTGTGAATATTAGATGGTATATTCACTTATGAATATTAAATAATATTTCCATATGTGAATATTACATGGTATATCACATATGAATATTACATAGTATATTCACTTGTGAATATTAGATGATATATTTACTTATGAATATTACACAGTATATTCACATATGAATATTACAAGGTATTTTCACAAATATATATCATTTTTATATGTTATTCACATGTGAATATTCACATATAAATAACATACAGACTTGCATATTTGTTTTGTGTTTTTAATAATCATATACTGATTCAGGTGAGAAAACATATTCATATGTGAATATAATAACGTGGTAATTTAGTTTATGCATTTCATCAACAGTTGGAGTGCATACAAGTTAACTTTTTAAAAATGTTAAAAACATGATACTTCCGATTCAAGTTATCAATTCCAAATCATCATATACTTCCGATTTCGACTTCAGATGCGACATCCTATGTCTGATCGATTTCTCATTTTGATTTTGATTTCTGAAAATCCGATGCGACATCCTATGTCCTTCAATGTCGACTGTGACTGCGAGTCCAGAACTCTGATTCCAATTTCATGAACAGCGAAGAAATTCCGATTCCAACTGAGTTCGTTTGCGAATCTGGGAAATTCCAATTCCAAATCCATTATGAACTTTAACAAATGCTTGCAAGCTACGAACATTCGGAGTATTCAACAAAGAAATCGATGAAATTGATAAATTTGGGTTGCGAATCTGTCTTGAACGGCGAACCTCTCAGCCACGAAGATCGATGATTGATTAACACGGGATGACATTGATGATGGTTTAACTGAAGAAATATGGATGATTATTGAAGGTTAGAGGAGAAATTTTGATGATGAATGAACTGTTATCTAATTCTCTACAATTATGTATTTGAGATTGAAGGTTATTATCATTTTTACAAATTTGTTACCGTGTCTTTTTATGCTTAGATTAAATGAGTGGCTGAGAATGATTCTCTCATTCTCAACCTTTTTTTATTTTCTCAATTGAACTTATCTCTCTCTCTCTCTCTATCTATATATATATATATATATACATATATATATATATATATATATTATATATATATATATATATATATTTTGTTGTTTTCCTAGTATTTATGACTAGTAATTAAGTCAAGATGTGTTAAATCATCATCGTTCAACATTAGTCAATCTGCAACTAATCCACCATATTCGATTAGCTTTTTCTTTAACACCCGGGAATCTTTACTATACTTGTGTTGTCTCTTTTTTCTTTTGTCTCGAACCTAAAATATGTTTTGACCGACCATGTGTTTGGCCTATTTTTCTTGCCATGTCACAACCGCTCTCAACATTAATAGTAATAAATATAGTATTAAAGACAAAATGATCATTTTGTAAAAATAAGAATATTTTTGTTATTTTTGTTTAGTACTTTATTCATAATATATAGTTTTGTTAATATCCCTTTGTTTATATAATATATTTCGTAATATTATGTCGACGGAGTATAAGCAATTAAATTCTCACAAATACACTCGCTCCATTTTCTAGAGAGAGAACATGGACACAAAAAATTGCATCATGAACAGAGGGTGGTCATGTTCTAAGCTTCCATGGCTGACACCACCTCTAATCATCGTTCTCATAACATTTATCTCCATTCAACCTACAATTTCTACCTCATTTCTCAACAATCATTACACCACTACATCAAATTTCAGCCTTTCTTCTTCAGTCAAAGCAAATCCTCATCGAATTCTATCAAATTTTCCAAACAAAAAACAGAGCAATCTGCAGAGAATTGAAGCAAGTTTAGCTAAAGCTCGAGCTGCAATCAAGAAAGCTGCTACCGTGGTAACAAATAATTCGATCGAAGATCCAGATTATGTTCCATCTGGATCAGTTTATCGGAACCCCAATTCGTTCCACAGGTACAATTCTGTTCTTCATTGATTTGCCAATAATTTCTGGACTACTTATGTGATTCAAAACGTTGTTTATGAATTGGTTGCGTGAATCAACAACCATCTAATATGCTTCAGGAAAGATCCTTTTTAACTTTATCGTGAATGTACAAAAAAGAATTCTTCCTATGTTTTCTTTTTAGAATTGATGATTTATTATTTTAGTTATATCTAAATGTTAATGATTATATTATGTTACACGAAGTATATTACAAGTGATAATATTGAAATTTGAAATTGTGGAAAATCTACCTCGATTTTATCAAAAAGAGGTCATAAAATCTTTTTGCTAAATTTAGACTCGGTGGATTATTCTATTTTTTTTTTCAAGAAAAAGACAAATTTATAGATGTTTTAATTTTTAATTTATTGTTTTTTATTTATTTTGTAAACTAGTTGTGAGGCCTAATATAATATGAGTTTATTTAAAAAAAAAAATTTAAATAGGCTAGTCCAAACATTTAGGAGATTGTATCTATAAATAAAGTAAGAAAAATATTGAATTATTGAAATTGAAGTGTTTATTTTTTAAAAAAAAATTAAACAAATAATTTAAATAAGTAAATAAAGGAAATAATTGAGCTTTAATTTAAGAATTTGAAATTAGAAGAAAATTTATATTAATAAATTGATATCCATTACTGTTATATTTATTACATTTAAAATACTATTTGGAATTTAATAAAATAGAAAAAAAATTATAAAATAACATGTGGAAAAAATTTAATTTAAAATAACTATAAAATAACATATGTCAAAATAAATGAAAGTGTGACATATGACAGAATGATTATTATTTATTAGAAATTTAGATTTAAAAAAGATTAGAATAGATTTCAGAGTCGAACAAACCAAACTTTAAAAAATAAATAAAAACTTATTTCATCTTCCATCTATTAACGTATATAAGCACATATGACGTGACCCAACTTGTATTCTACTCCATTCAATCTTTTTTCTAATTTGAATATCTTAAACATCAATAATTGAGTTTTTGGAAGTTTTTTCAATATTTTTCTCTCTAAAAAACTGATGAAATTTAGAAAAGAAAAATCATTTGGAGGCTCTTTTTCAAAGAGATTGTTAATTTATAAGTTATTATCATAAGTTTTTTCAAGTTTTAAACCAATTGTAAATAGACAATTTATACAAAGGTAAAAACAAATTAGAAAAACTCTCTTATTGTAGAGATAAATTGAGTTTTTTCATATTAAAAAAAAAAAAAACACAAAAAAAAAAACAACTTCATCGAAAGCTCTCTTATTTCATTCATAACTTCCCTAAAACTAGTGGAAATTGTCATTCCTCGCATCCCTAAACCATTTTTAATAAAATAAATAAACTAATTAAAATACATTAAAATATTATTTAATTAAAAACATCATCCCTAATAAATAAAGATTTTATTGCCACATTTCCTATTCTCCTTTAATTTGCCACATGTAATTTTCTCATAATTTTTTATGTATTTGTTTTCCACACTTAATTTGCTTATTGGTTCCATTTTATTTTTAGTGAAAATCATTGATTTAGTTAATTCAATTCATTCTTAAAATAAATTATAATAAATTCCATCAAATTTACGTCTCAACATATTTGTTTTCCTTTTTTATTTTCATTATTTACATAAAACTAACTTTTTTCAATTTAAACTTATTTTTACATAAATTTGTATTACTTTGTATTCATTTATATACTTATTCATCAAAGCTTTTTATATATATAAAATTATTACTTTTTAAATTGCCTAAGGTTTATAAGTTTATATTTTTTTTAATAAACTCGTGTAATACACGGGTCTCATACCTAGCACATTAATAAAGAGAAATATAGGACTGGATAAACAAAATATGATTGTTGTACCGAAAGTTTTGAAAGTGGTGAAAGTTGAGGTTCATATCGAGGGAATTGCAGGAATTGATTATGTGAACTTTTGCTCTTGTAAACCCGTAGCGTTTCTTTCAGAGTATAAGGTGTGGGCAACTAGTCATAACATCATTTTGGTGCCACCTCACATGCCACATCACCAATGGTGTTATAACATCAAGTGGGGAAATGGTCACCATGTTGCATCTTGTTATAACACTAACTTTTTTCTATTTTATAATTTATTTTTTATTTTTATTTTTTATTTTTTGAATTGTTTTTTAATTTAGACAAATATTTTTTAAATATAACATAATAAATAAAACATAATGTTTAAAAATTATAAATAACATATAATAAAAACAATTTTTAAAGATTAAAATTAACATAGAAATTAAATTACACATAACATCCAAATTCCAAAAAAAATAAATAAATAAAAATAAAAAAAATAAAAATACAACGCTATTCGTTAAAAAAATATTTTTTTAAAAACTAAACGATATTCGTTATCGTTATTGTTATCATAGAAGATATAATCCGTCAAGTCTCTCAATCCTCTGTTGTTCCTGATGGGTTTCGAGCAATACATCATTCCTATGGTGTACATGCAAACCCTAATAGCTTTTGGATCTAGTTTGTCTAATGAACATGCAATTGAATATCCAAAGCTATAAACCCTAGATCTATCATATAAGAACTGAAATAAGGGTTTAGTAACTACCTTTGATTGTTATATAGCAATAACAATCAATCCTTGGCTTCAGAAAGCTTAGTGCCTCAAGTGTTGCACCTCTAATGGAGTCACAAACACCACTAAGCAACTTGGATGAAGAGGAAGGAGAGGGGAGGCACCAAAAACGGCTGGAAACCCTAATCCAAGTGTTAGCCCCGTTTTTGGTGCATAGGGGTCCTTTATATACATGTAGGCTATTAGGGTTTACAGCTAGGAAACCCTAATCTGATTGCTTAAGCCCTAAGCAGTCCATGGACTCCTTTAACATATCCCTTGGACGATTTCTAATGGGCTTCCCATAGAATTCGTCCAACCTATATATTATTAGGTGATCCATAGCCCAATTGTAATTATCTTATAATTACAACTCCAGTCCCCTAAGTTTAATTAATCTCTTTTAGCCACAAATTAATTTTTATTAATTCTTGACTAATATTAATTAAACAATATGATTTCTCCTTTAATATATTATTCTTATAATATATTAATAAATCATAATTAAACCTTTCTCTCCTTAATTCATCCTACATATTGCTATGGTGAAGGCAACCCAAAAGGACCATGCTCATAATCGGGTCAAGTACATACCAAAATAGTTATGGACTTAGACACTAATCCAACAGTCTCCCACTTGGATAAGTCTAATAACTATTTTGTATAACTTCAGAACCTGATCAGCAATCGTAGCTTTCAAAAGCCGCTGTCAACTCTGATCTTATCAGATACGCGTGTCCTTTAGATAAGGGATCATATATTCCTCCATTCTACAAGATATCGTATAGACATGAGACATGGATTTAAATCATTCTCTCTGTCTATGTATTGTTTCCCGACATCTGATTTATGACGACTGACAACAGACTACAATTGAACACATCAACTTAGTCCCGGCTTGGCCAAGCGCTTAGGTGTCATCACTAAATCATCGAGGGCCCACAGATATCGCTTTTATCCCACTTTGGGTAAAAGGAATGGATAAACTTCGACTCAAATGCTCGCTTGCATTTACTGATCGAATCACACACAACAATAAGTTTTATAACACCAAGTTACTGGTGCGTTTTCTTATTATCAATGTGCAACCGACCAACAAATAACAACTCACACGTCTCGGTTTCAAGAATATACAATATTATCGTCTCACAATCACTCGTGATAAAATCCATGAAGTGATTCAAGTGAGCGTGGGTTTAATCCAATACTCTAATCTTATCAAAGCACTCATGAACTCTGCAGCAAACTTGTGCTATGTCTAAACACTTTAGACAATCTACAGACACTTCATGACAGTCTTCCTTCACACCTACTCCCAACGTATGACCGACTGTGGATGTTTGAATAACCTAGTTATTCTGGAAGTCAAAACATGCAAAGTGAAACACAATAATAATATTAATCCTATATGGCCCCAAAACTTTTGAGCGTAAATAAAAAACACTTTTATTTAAACACCATATTGATTACTCATTATTCATTGCTTACTGTTTCAGAAAATCAACTTATTACTCGAATTATAACCACAATTGTCCCATGCTCCAAGCATGCACACTTTGGTTTCCTATGGTCCATACTTTGTGAAATAGATCAATTGAAAAACGTTTCCAATGAAACTCATTTCACAATCCCCAATCCTTATTATTAGTATAAGAATACCAAATTCTTGCCACTTTTAGAATATGTCAGATTCTAACATTTTATGCAATGATTCTTTCGTAATGTCATAGCACAAAAGTCATAAAGACTCGGCCAATGAAATCACAAGGTACTCTATCAGAAATTGTTACAAAACAATTATATAGATGTGATGTCTCTCACTCAAAGTACATTCCTTTGAACATCCTTTTTGCATAAAATTTTCTAATCTAGACATAAATTCTTAATATCCAACTCCCATTAATGGAAACATTTCCATATTTGTCATATGACAACTCATTCTTAATAGAATATTATATATTCATAATATAGTCCATTCAGTACTATACTTCTAACTACTCACAAGCGACAAATCCTCAGTGAACCTTAGATCGTCCTTTGATAGTTGTTTAATTATTTTAGTCAAAACCGATTCTAGTCCTTTTTCCCTCTTAATGCCCTAGGCATTTGGAAAATTTTAGAACGGTCAAATATTATAGCATATGCAATCGATCCTATACCCGAAGCGTATTGGACACGATGCATAATGTCTCACATAAAGACGTGATACTTTATCATCCTTCTGCCATAATATTTTATGTGCCATGTTCCCACAATTCGAACTATGAAGAGGGATGCCGTAATCATAATCGAATTTTGAGAATGCACTATGTATCCTTGACTAAATTTATTAACATTTCTCGATCTAAGCTTTAGAATTTTGAAACGAAGT